TGCTAATACTCCTCTTCCTGCTGCTGCTGCTACTGCTGCTGCTGCTGCTGCTGCTGCTGCTACTGCTGCTCGGCTTATACGCAAATATGCACCTGATGTCGATGCTGTGGGGATTAGAGATACACAACAAACAGAAAGAGAGACAGAAAGAGAGACAGAAAGAGAGACAGAAAGAGAGACAGAAAGAGAGACAGAAAGAGATATAAAAATAGATAAAGAGACGAAAAAGAGATAGAAAAGAGATAGAAAGGGAGACAGGGAAGAGATAGAAAGGGAAACAGAGAAGAGATAGAAAGGAGACAGAAAGAGAGACAGAAAGGAGACAGAAAGGAGACAGAAAGAGAGACAGAAAGAGAGACAGAAAGAGAGACAGAAAGAGAGAGAAAAGAGATAGAAAGAGAGACAGATGAGAGATAGAAAGAGACAGAAAGAGAGACAGAAAGAGAGACAGAAAGAGAGACAGAAAGAGACAGAAAGAGACATAAAGGGAGACAGAAAGAGACAGAAAGAGAAACGGAAAGAGAGACAGATAAAAATAGATAAAGAAATAAAAAAGATATAGAAAAGAGATAAGAAGAGAGACAGAAAGAGAGACAGAAAAGAGACATAAAAGAGACAGAAAGAGACAGAGAAAGGAGATAGAAAGGAGACAGAGAGAGAGACAGAAAGAGAGACAGAAAGGAGACAGAAAAGAGACAAAAAGGAGGCAGAAAGAGACAGAAAGAGAGACAGAAAGAGACAGAAAGAGATAGCGATAGGAGATAGAAAGGAGACAGAAAGAGACAGAGAAAGGAGATATAAAGGAGACAGAAGGAGACAGAAAGAGAGACAGAAAGAGACAGAAAGGAGAGAGAAAGAGACAGAAAGAGACAGAGATAGATATAAATACACCTATATATGTATTTGTATACATACTTATATACATACATATACATATATATAAATACACCCATAAATAAATAAATAAAATAAATAAATAAACAAATAAATAAATAAAATAAACAACTATACATATATATATATATATATATTTATTTATTTATTTATTTCTTTATTTATTTATTTATTTATTTATTTATTTTATTTTATTAACGCAGATGATAAAGAGGGTGTGTGTGGGGTCTCCGCGGGAGAAGTTGGGGTGTATAGGCACCTTCAGGGAGACACTTCTTCTCTACAA